AACCCAGGAAAAATTGTATTTTATCTATCCTTCTTATAAACAAGCCTAGACCTTGGTCTTTATTTAATGAGACACCTTGAACATGCATTTTACTGATCTAAAAACCAATGAAGGGGAAAGTTAAACAACAACAAAATCTCTTCATGGTAGTGAAAAGATACAAAACACAGCACATACCAAGTCAGCTACATCTCCATACAGTTCAGCGACGTGGATGACACCCTTGAAATGTGAGCACATAAACCTTTCATTCAGAGACACAATTTGAGAAAGAAGAAAAATTCATGCGTGGGGGAAATTTTAGCAGCCACAAGAGCGGGGCTGCCATGAGAACGTGATCGCTTGGTTTGGCTGTAATAAATGGAGTCCAGAGAGAGACGCACTGGAGAGCTAGACTTGCAAGCTGGTTTTTCTCTCTTCTGGGACATCCTTCATAAAAGTTCTCTACACAAAAACCATTCTTAAAAAAAATTTTTTTAATGGAGTCCAGATAAAACACACCCCAACTCCAATATCCTATCTGCTGATGTACAATATATGCCCCCGTGAGATGATTAAGCTGAGCAGACATGTGTTCTCTGAGCTGTGTAAGCCATTGCTGGCATTCTTTCAACAAGTGCCTATTAAACTCGGTGGTGGGGAGGTTGGTGGGGGTTGAACTCAAGACAATGTGCTGGGGGAGATGATGGAGAGCCTGCCAACAGGCGGCCCCGTGGTTCAGATGAGCAAGTGTGAAAGATGTTTGTATACACTCTACGGTCAACCGTCTCAAAGAGACCTCAGTGGCAATGCTAACCCAGGAAGACCACTGTGGGTGTGGCAGAGGTGTGCTCTGGGTGGCAACTGGGTCCTTTGAATGAGCAACCATCTGGATGCAGCCATCTCGCTGACCAAGATGCCAGGTCTGGGATTACCTAGGTTTGAGTCAGTCACTGGACTTACTAGCTTGTGACCTGGGGCAAGTTGCTTAACTCCTCTGAGTTTCAAATTCCTTCTCTGTAATAATGTCCAAAGAACAGGGAAGCAAAGAAAAAAGCCGCCCAGGATTAGAAACCACGTTTGTAAAGGGCATAGCACTGTACTAAATACACAATAAGCCCTCGCCTCCTCCTTCTTACTTACTTAGCACAAAAGACCAAAGGGTGAAAGGGGAAAGGTGCTGCTTAAGTGAATCAAGTGAAACAGAAGTGCAAAAGGCTGAAGGGCATGGAGGTGAGGGGGCCCAGGACAAAGAATATGCCAAGACCATCTTGCCCTCCCCCAAATCCCTCAGGGCTCCATGACATACCAGACTGATGACTTACAACCACCAGATTCAAATTAGTTTTACATCCATCACCCATTCAAATGGTGTTTACTATAAATTATAAGCCCTTTTTAAGAAGTATCAAATGAGACGTCCAAAATTCTTTCACTTGTGCTGAAACCTGCTCCCCACAAGAGGCCTGATCAAAAGCAGGCTCTTCCTGACAGGGGCACATTCCACTCAAGGCAGCACAGCCTACCTACAGCTCACTCCAGGGTGACCCTGCGCCACGCTGGTGCTTGGTCCATCTAAGGTTGGTGTGGTAGAAGCAGGATCCCCAGTAGCATGGTAGTTATGTGTTGGGCTGCTAACCCTAAGCTCAGCAGTTCAAAAACACCAGCCTCACCTTGAGAGAAAGATGAGGCTTTCTCCTCTCTCCTTTAAAGAGTTACCAACTTGAAAACTCACAGGGGCAGCTCTACCCTGACCTATAGGGTCACTATGAGTGGGCATCAACTCAATGGCAGTGATTTGGGTCAAGCTCACCTGTCCAGCTCCTCCTCCAAACTGGTTTGCACAGGGTCCCAGGGTTCTCTACCACGTGCTTCTCAAGCTGGGTCACACATCTCATTCAAAGGTGCATTCTGATTGAGGAGATGCAGGGAAGGACCTGGGATGCTAACATGTGCCCTGGGATGGCCAGGCCCCTGGTCTCTAAACCACACTTGGAATAGCAAGGGTCTGAGTCATCCACCAGTTCACAAACCAGAGGATACACAATCCCCCAATTCTTGGAGTTCAAAAGCAGAATAAAGGCACAGAATCAATAACCACCTTGAAGAAACGAGTCAGTTAAAGAAATAATGAGACCACTGGGGTCCACAGCGAATACCTGACATCCGTAAAGCACGCAACTTAAATCTGGATCCCAAACCCCTCAACGTTCAATGTCGACAAGGGCCATCAGCACTTTCTCAACCTGAAAGTATCCTCTCTTCTGTGCCCCCATTCCCCACACCAGAGTGCTCTGCTCCTTCCCTTGCTAGAAAAAAGCCTTTTGGCTTGGTCTGCCCGGCGGTTTCTCTACACAGCTGCTAGTGAGTAAGAAGCCCTGGAGGTGCAGTGGTTACACACTGGGCTGCTCACTGCAAAGCCAGTAGTTCAAAACCACCAGTTGCTCCTCAGGAGAAAGACGGGGCTTTCTGCTCCTGGCAAACAAGGACCATCTTGGAAACCCACAAGGACATAATGTCCTTTACCGTCATTATGAGTCAGCATCGACTCAATGGCAGCGAATTGCACTTTTGGTTTTGTTTTACAAGTAGAAAATACATATCAAGACACTATTATTGGTTCTAGATTCTTGGTGCAAAAGAAACACCTGGGAAAGGGGACAGGAGGTTTGCATAACAAATGAAACCAGAGTAGAGCAATAATCAGGGAAGCAAGTGTTTGTGTGGGGTGGGGTGGGGTGTTGCAGAGGATCTGAGAGGCATTTCACAACTGTCACTGATTAATGTGGCATCTGACCTTCGGGAACTGTACAAACTGGCAGGCCGTATCAGGGACACAAACGTTCCACGTGAAATTAGAGGCTTTATGCTGTGGCAACAAGAGAACAATGAATCCTGATGGAGTGGATGAACCCATGACTGAGACCAGGTTAAACCAGGTCTTCCTTTCCCCTGCTAACAGACCTGGGCTCCCCAGGTGACCTCGGAAACGCTCTACCTGCTACTTGAACAGCCTCCCTTCTCCTCTACTGCTGTGGCTGGGGACCCTGCGGGTGACAGAGTAGAATTGCTCCATAGGGTTTCTTCCGCTGGCATTCATGCTGGGGTAGGTCACTGGCAGGCCTTCCTTCCACAGGCCACACCCGGGATGGGTTAGAACTATCAGCCTTTAGGTTAGCAGCTGATCATGCCCCAAACTCTTCTGCTCAAAGAGAGAACACACCCACACACAATTCTGTCACTGAGTCCATTCTGACTCCCAGCGAGGCTTTAAGACAGAATCAAACTGCCCCTCTGGATTTCCACGACTGTACATCTTTACAGGAGCAAAAAGCCTCATCCCCCATTCCCCCCAGAGCCAAACTGCTGATCTTGCAGTTAGCAGCCTAACTCATGACCTAGACTATGTGACCAGGGCTCCCTTACTACCGCTCATGTATTTTGGTCAATGTTCACTCCCCATGTGGCTGGAGGAGGCCTTCCCCAAGACTGATGACTTACTGCCAATTAATCCATCTCTAATCATCCCCATGGTCAACAACATACTCAAAAGCATGGTACTCGGTGCAACCAACAATGCAATTGTACCACAAAGGAACCAGCTGGGGAACCACTTACACCTGAACCTCTCTCTCGGCATATGAAATGAAGTTACTTGCTACCAATTGGTAAGTAGTAAACATTAACTTTCCTTTCAAAGTCATTAATCTGAAATGTATTTGAAGATGCATGTTAACTGAAACCATCCGGTCTTCCCCCTGGCACCCCAAACAGATGGTTAGATTCTTTGAGAGAGCGATACATTGTATTTGAGCATTACCCAGTACCTCACACACTCTCCTGCGGGCGCGCGCACACACACACACACCCATTGTCATGGAGTCAGTCAATACAGACCCATAGGACAGAAAAGAACTGCCCCTGGTGGTTCCCCAAAGCTGTCATCTTTAGAGACGCAGACTGCCATCCTCTTTCGCGCAGAGCAGCTGGTGGGTTTGAACTGCTGACCTTTTGGCTAGCACTCAAGCACTTGGCACACCGGGACTCGTGGCCCTTGAAGTCCTCTTAAATAGAAGTCAATTTATGCATATTTATAGACACATCTCTTCTGACCAGTGGTGGCGCTGGAACCGAAGCCAAGAAGAACCCCCAAGGTTCTAAACAAAACAACTCCATCCTCACCTCCAAGGGATTGCAGAGCCAGAGCGGCGCTCCTCCCCCTGCACTGTCAGGAGGACCAACAGACAAAACCACACTCAGAGGACTCAGAGCTACTCTCTAGGGCAGGGTGGAACTGCCACTCTGGGTTTCTGAGACTTTCATGGGAATAGGAAGTCTTTTCGCTCCATCTTGCTCTCAGCTACTCACTTTGTAGGTGTGAGCCTATTCGGTAACCCACTACACCACCAGGGAACCTAAGAACTGCAGGGGGGCGGGGGGCGTTTTTTAAGCTACGGATGCCTGGCCCCCTATCCAGGCTAATTTCTAAGAAGCTCCCAGGAGACTGGTGTAGGTGGCCTGTGAACCACATGTTCAGAAAGACTGTCCCTTCTTGTCCTTGTCCAGCGTCTCGACAAGCTGGACCTTTTCTTGTTTACTCTTCACACAGCCATCTCGGCCACCCCTCAGCCTTCTGCCCACTCAGTCCCCAAAGAAGGTCAAGCGGCAGTCAACTGGCAAGTATTTCCTGGTTGACTTTGTATTTTCAAAACAAAACGCAAAGCAGCCTTTTGGTTTTGCGATGCCTGGCCGCGTACACCACCACAGCATCCACTTCTCTCCATCAACTTCACACTCCCCCTTCTGCTCCTGTCCAGCACGCCCGCCGCCCTCCACCACGCAAACAGTCCCGGGCGTGAGTCGCAGACTTGGGTACCGGTCGTTCGCTCCTTTGGTCCAGAAAACAACCGGCGAAAGTTCGCACCAGGCGTTCACCGCTCCCATGCCGCCCCGGGCCCCCTGAGCGCGTCCGAATCCCCCTCCTGGGTGCGCGCTGTGGACTCCGGAGTCCCCAGTCTTACCTGAAACACGTGGTGAGCTCGCCCGAAGCCTTCAGACACGGGTATTTGGTCGTTGCTATTTTGTTTTCAGAGCAAATTTCTCTACAAAAAAAAGTTGGAGAGGACGCTCGGTTTATTCTAAGCCGATGAGCTGCCGGAGGCTTTCGCACTGGGGCCCCTTGGCGACAGCGGGCGGTGGCCCGATTGGGGACAGAGGCCAACTAGGAGAGGGTCGCCCAGCTCCGGAGACCCGAGAAGCTGCCGTCGCGGAGCTCGCGCTTGGTGCCCGCAGGCGGGGCGCGGAGGGCGGCAAGAAGGCGGGTCGGGGTCCCGCCGCGCCCAGGCCCTCCAATGGGGTCGCGGACACAGGCTGTCACCCGGCAGCAGAGTGCAATGCTTGGTATGGACACCCGCGCACCCGGTCCGTGCCGGGGGGCAGCGCAGGGCGGACGGTCACAGGAGGACCCGCCCGCACCCCGCGAGCCGGGCGCGCACCCACCGGGGCTCGGGGAGCGCGCGGCGCGGGCTCTCCCGCCGGGGTTGGCAGCGCCTACCTGTCGCTGTCCTCGGGCTCCTCTCGGTAGCTCCACGTGTGTCCGAGCGCCAGGAGCAGCAGCAGCGGCCCCAGGCTCCTGCCCAGTTGCGCCCGGGCAGCTCCTCTCCGCCTCGGCGGCGGCGGCGGCGGCACCATCGGGGACGCTCGCGCAGCTCCCGGCGCGGAGCTCTCTCCCAGCCCGGCGTCCGGCTCTCGGCGTCGCCTTCCCGCTGCGGCAGGGGGCGCGCGCGGGCAGGGGCGTCTGCACCACCTGCGTGGGGTTGGGGGTCCGCCTAGGAGCTGGGGTGCTGGAGGCAAACCCCAGAGCGGCTGGGGAGAGGGCGCGGGCGGTGCTGGCCCGGCGCGGAGGGCTCGGGGGCCGGCTGGCCTCGCTCGGGAAGTCCCTGGTCGCTGGACAGCCTGGTCCGGCTCGGCACTGGACTGCGCCCTCCTCCCCGGCCGCCTCCGCTGGGAAAGCAGGCGGCGTTTTGCATCTCGCACCAGGGTCGCGCCACCAGGAGGAGGAGGAGGAGGAGGAGCCGATCCTCACCCCGGGGAAGGGGAGGGGGAGAAGAGGGGTTAATGAGCTTCCTTTCTGCTGTCAGCTGATTTGTAAGGGCCAGGGTCACCCCGTGCTTGCCACCTCCCCCGAGAACCACTACCCTGCGCTTTCCCGCTGTCCCACGTTTGGGCGTTGGGCGGGTGGCTTTGTGGGGGAGGAAGGCGGAGTTGACAAGCTACCGCGAGCCTCCCAAGCTGCCTTTTGAAATCTGAAATAGCTCCGTTAGAGTGTAGTCTGTCTTCATTAAAATGCCTCAGATGAAAGCCCTCAACTACCTTCTTCTCAGCTTGGCTTGGGCGACCGGGTGAGGTGGTGGGAGCTCTCCACAGCTTTTTTCTTGGGGAGGGGGGGGTTACATCTTCTTGCTCTAGTGACTAAGGCTGTTTCCTTGCCGCACACACCACCACACCGAGCTGCACACTGGACACTGCTGGGATCCCAAACCACACTCTGGTGCCTGATAATTCCTGCTGCCAGGCTTCTGGTAACCTGGAAACTCTCCTGGAGAGAAGAGGGCAGTGAGCTATTTAATAGGTCTCTTCTAGTCAGACTCTCTCTAACTGCCACCAGGTGGCTTTTTCCTTGTGGATCTGCATTAAGAGGCTGCGGGAAGACACCAAGGGGGTCATGTACTTCAGCTGTGAGTGGTTGTTAGCGCTCATTGTTGCCGCCCTGCTGGGTCTGAAATGAGCTGTCTCAGAAGCAGTAAGAGCGGGTGGGTTTCTCGCTCCCAGCAAAAGATAATAGCCAGGAGAGTGGAGTAGCTTGAAATCCCAGGACATGGACCTAGTGCCCGCAGTGCAAGCAGGAGACAGAGCAGTGGGCTGCTCAGTCTGCAGAGCAAGTGAAGCTGAGTGCTTTCAGTGGAGTAGGGTACTGCCCTACTAACTGAGGAAGCCAGGTTGCTGACCCACTGAGCTAGAGCTGACCACCTTCAGGCTAAGGCTTATGGCAGAGTAGCTTGCCCTCTGGACATTTATTGGCAATCCTAAAAGATCTTTGTAACGTTGCATGAGCAGGGCACCAACCAATAAGCCCGGTGGCTGAAAGGCCAAAGACCAGAAAGAGGCCTGCCAGTGGGCACACTTAAAAGAGGCCGTCCTGTGTGACTAATTGTATCCTGAGCATTTGTAAACTGTTAACTACCTTGGAGACCTCGTGACTTTGAGTATTGTCTGTGAGTTCATTGCAATGATTTGTCGAGCCCAGCTGAAAGTAGATCGGCTGTGGTGTGGGTGGGATGGGTGGTATCATCACGGGTAAGGGAAGTTAGAGGGTAGAGTGGGCCAGTCTGACCTCAGCCTCGTGGGCATCTGCCTTGAGCAGCTGCCCATGGGAGATGGTGATTTTCCTTCCCTCTTGTGCAGCTGTAATAGGCAGACGTGGCCCTATTTCATTTCTGTTGACAGCAACACAGCTAGTTTGGTGCAGACCTGTGGGAGAAGATCGTCTTAAGATGAACTCTGGAAAAGACATTCCCAGGCTTCTGTGTAACAGAGTGCATTTATGGGACAGTCTGAACTTCACTGCCTTCTTCAAGCTGTACTACATCCCATGGTTTAGGCAAGGCCCGTGGGAAGGAGCTGACAGCTCAACGCAAGGCAGAGGCCCTGCATGGTCTGACCTTTAACCAAGATAAGGTAGACACTTTCTCTCCTGTTCCCTTGGAAATTGTTGAAATACAGCATTCTGCAGTTGTTCTGTTGTACTCCCTATTTCTGGCTTTATCTTCCCTTCTAGACCATAGACTAATTGGCTAAAATATTCTTGCTTGCTGAAGACAAAATGGGTTCATAAGCAAATGTGGTGAAGAAAGCTGATGGTGCATGGCTATTAAAAGACATCGTGTCTGAGGTCTTAAAGGCTTGAAGTTAAACAAGCAACCATCTGGCGGGAATGCAACAAAGCCCACATGGAAGAAGCACACCAGCTTGTGTGATCATGAGATGTCAATGGGAATAGGTATCAGAAGTTTAAAAACAAGCAATCAAATGGAAGGAGCAGAGGCAAAGTGGAGATCCAAAGCGCACCTGTAAGACAACTGGACAGTCCTTCACAGAAGGGCCACAGGTAATGGGTGATATATCCAGGGAGCAGTAGAGCCCTGATGAAACACAGAACTATCCTCTAGTTTTTTAAAATTTCCTCCTCCCACTATTATGGCCTTAGTTTTACCTCGCTAATCTTGCTCGACCTGTGTATGTATACTGGTACTAGTAAGATCTTTCCATGCATGAAATCCAAGATGGATAAACCCTTCAGAAACAGTAATGGGAGAAATGATTCCCTGAGGGTAAGGGAAGGGGAAGAAGGAGGAACTGATAGCGATGATGACTGTATAACCCCACTCAAGGGGAAGAGATATCAGAATTGTAGGTGAATGTATACATTGGAAGGTGTAAGTTATGGCTGAAAAAAACCTATAATAATAATAATAAGAGTTCACAGGAGATGGTAGGGAGGGGGAGGGAGGGGATAAAGAAGAGCCGGTATCAAGGAGTTCAAGAAGAAAGAAAATGTATTGGAAATGATGATGGCATCAATTTTACAACTATGCTTGATCTAATGGACCTATGGATTGTAATTACATATGTAAGAGCCCCGAATACAATGTTAAACAAACAAACAAGTTTCCGGTGCCTGTTCGAGCGTACCTCATGACAAATGTGGACTGCAAGGAGTGGTAGGCCAGACATGGGTTAGAAGTGCCAAAGGTGCTAATGCTCTAATGGGCTAGTAGCCCTACAATCCCCACAGGACAGGGGGGTGGAAGAGGAAGTTGGTCAGGTACACGGGTGTTTTGATGTCTCGATTATTCTGGGCAATAGAATGCTTGCACATGATGTATACATGTTGACATTCTTAATAGCAACAACGCCATTCCTTCCAAGAATGCATCCCATCCCCCTGCCCCCCAAGGCTTTCCGCGGGCATGGTTTTATTTGAGTCTCACAGTGTCCCTGTGGGAGCGACCCATGATGGGAATTATTTTCCTGTTCCCATGACGGGAATTATGTTCCTGTTTGCGAAACTGCACACTAGGTGTCCTGCAGCTTAATTCGGTGAGATGGTTCTGACCTACAAAACTTACAGAAAACCAGAATGGAGGCCCGATATTAAAATATGGCGCAGCAGACAACACAACTGAATTTTTAGGAGAAATGGAAAAATCTTCACAGGACCTGAGCTAGATCCTCATGGGGTCAGAAAAGACCAGGATTCAAACCCAGGCTATGTGACCTTGGGAAAGCTACCTATCCTTTCTGAAACTCAGTTTTCCCACCTAGTAAGTGGGAGTCTCCCATGATTTTTTTTTTAATGAGGAGGAACTGGGGTAAGGGCTGGAAAGCATAGAGGAAGAGTTTCCATATCCTTCAGCTTCATGTTGCCCTGACTGAAGCCCTCTCCTCCCCTCCCCCACCCCCTTATTGAGTGCTCATTAACATGACATGGTATTATTTTAAACACACATTGCCCAAGATTTTATGTTCTCGTTTTCCACTATTTGATATCTAGATAGTTCATTTCACAAATGGTTGTCTGGGTTTCTGAAAAGACCCTTCTCTAGCTCATAAAAAATCAACTTGTCCTGGCATTTGATGAAATTGTATCACTTTAGGGAGAAACCTGTCCCAGACAGTGTTTCCTGGCCACACTGGAGTGTAGAGGCCAGCCTGCCAATGGTTTCCACTTTGACTCTCTACTGCTGTGGTAAGAATATTAGTTCTAATCCCCCCATGGAGGGGCCACAAGGAAGGGATGAGTCAACCAGGGTGCAGTAAATCATTGATGAAACACACAATATTCCTCTCATTCCTTGAGGCTTCCTCACCCCCCACTATCATGACCCCAGGGCTGCTTCTCAATTCAAACTAGACCAGAGCATGCACACAGGTATAGATAAGAGAGGGAGACTCACGACACACGGAATCCAGGAACAGGAGGGGGAACAGCGATATCGGAAGGGTAGGCGGAAGTGGAGAGAGGAAGGGAGAAAGGGGGAGCCGATTGCAATGATTGACACATAACCATATACCCCTCTCCAGGGGGAAGAACAACAGAAAACATGGGGGAAGGGAGACAATGGTCAATGTGAGATATGAAAATAATAATCATTTATAATCTATTAAGGGGTTTAGAGGATGGGGGTGGGGAGGGAAGGAAAAAAAGAGGAGCTGATACAAAGGGCTCAATAGAAAGTAAATGTCTAGAAAAGAATGAAGGCAACAAGTGTACAAACACTGCTGATGCATCGACGTATGGATTGTAGCAAGAGTTGTAAGTGCCCCCAATAAAATGATCTTTTAATAAAAGAAAGAAAGAAAAAGAATATTAGTTCTTCTGCAGATGACAGAGAATAGTGTAGGAGATGAAAACAAACATTGAAAAGCCAGCCTTGCTGTCGTCTTATTTTATGACAATGCATACCAACCCTCTGGGGGTTCTAAGGCTGGAAGTCTTTACAGAAATAGACTGTCAGCTCTTTCTCCCATGGAGAGGACGGGGCTTGAACTGCCGGCTTTTGGTTTCAACCACCAAGCTTTTAGTTAGCCCCAACTGCTTTAAATGCAGCCAGGGCTTTTCCAGGGCTTCC